AACCGCCCCGTCGCGCTCAGGGGTGCGCCGCGCGTCGCCGGTGATGGTCTCCCGGCCGCCGCGCGGGGCTCCAGCGCGAGCCTCCTGTGCCGCTGCGGTCTCGGAAGGTGACTGCTGCGCCTCCTCGGCCCCGCCGGGTAGACCCTCGCCAGCGACGTCGGCGTCGCCCTCCTGTCCGGCTCGCGTCGACGTGGGCCGGCGACTCCCTGCTCGGCGTGCTCGCCGCCTCCGCGCCGATACACTGCTCGCGGGTGGCCGACCTCGCCGCCTTCTCGGCCGAGAACTCCAGCCACGTGCCTCGCATCGCGATCCAGACTGACGACTCGTTGACGTTGATTGCTGCCGCCGCGCCTGGTCCGACCCAGCCCCTGATCTGTGTGTTCTGGTTGGCGCGCCGCGCGTGGGCCGCGTCGCCCTCGCGATGCGTCGCCTTGGGCCGGTCGCGCGGTCGCGCTGTGACCGTCGCGGCCAGGGCCTTGGTCTCGTCTTGCTCGAACTGCGCGCGCTGCGCCGCCTGGCGCACTTCATTCGCGCGAGCGAACTCCGTCGTGGGGTCCGATGCTAAAAGCATCCTGTCGACCCGTCGCTCATGGGCGATCCGGGCAGCCACTGCGAGGTGCCGAACACCCGCGGGTAATCGCTGAAGCCTGACTAGGTGGCGCAACGGTTGCCTGACTCCACCGCCGCTGCCACCGCCATGTCGAGATCCTCCGTAATGAGGATGCTTTGGTCCTCGATGACTTTCTCCGGGATCAGCTCCATGGTTCGGCTGGCTCTCTTGGCGCGACCATTCTGCCGAGGGCTCTGCGCATGATGTGCCCGCTGGTGCCGTTCGATCCCAGCAGGTTCTGACACACGCTGCCCGTGAACACGGGGCCCTGGTCCATGATGACGAGGTAAGGCCAACCATAGTGCGCCGCCCAGGCATTGGCAAACTCCGCCGTGGCCTCCTCCGCTGCGCGCCCAGCGCTGGTCCGAGTGACCATTTGGAACCCAGCCCCCCAGCGCGCCACCCTCGGGCACGGCGGCTCCAGGTGGTCGAACTTCTCAAACACCCGAGTAGGGGATCTACAACATAATTGGTTGACCCCATAATTAATTGTTCGCATCGGTTCTACGATTGATGCGAAGAACTGTTGAAGAAGGGGCGGGTACCGCCACGGTTGTTCACACTTGCCTCCATCGGATAGGGTATCGCGTATCGCAGTGGGTCAGTGCAGTTTTATCGGATAGGCTATCGCACGTTGCAGTGAGTGAGGGCAGTTAGGGTTGAGAGGAAGGGCCAGGTCAGGGAGGGGGTAGAAGTGAAAGGGGGGAGGAGGTAAGCAGGGGCGGTTCCGCACAACCGGAACCAACACTGAGATCCGGCATGCCTTCCATGGTAGGGGGACCGATGCTTCCCTACCGCCCCCCTTCGGCGCACTCGTAATGTCACGGACTCGGTGCGCCATGCTATTGTCATGATGGGGGTGCATGAGCGTCCAGGGAGAGCGATCCGTAGCTGCTCGGTTCAAGCTGCTCGGTTCAAGCTGCTCCGTAGCCATTTTGGCTCAAGCTGCTCGGTTCAAGCTGATTTTGGGCACAAGCTTTCCGAGTAGCATGGCCAAACCATGGTTGCAAGCAGGAGCGCTCCCCGATGGGGAGCTGTTGACAATGGTTTTGGGGAGCCCCTTCCTCGAGGCAGCAGCGTATGATGACTCCGGAGAGGGTCAGGGAACATACATTCTCAAGGTGATGCAAGGTGATTGTTCGCCATTGGGGGGAGTGAAGATTAAGGCAAAATATTTAGTGGCAGAGGATGACTACTACAACCACTGGATGGGTATGGGCGGACATCCAGAGACTGGTTGGTACCACTTGTGCTGCTACGGCGACGGGATGTCGAAGAAAAGGGGTCGAAAAGCAGTGTGTACACATAGAGGCGTGGCGTCCGCTCTCGTGTGCAGACATTGAAGCAGGCAAGGTATCGTGGACATCGCGCCCGGCCCTCAAAAAGAAGATGCTGGAGGCGGTCTTGGAGGCCCGATTGCCCCTCCCACCTCCCGAGGACCCGCCGCCGCAGGACCGTCCCGGAGGAGGTGCAGGAGCACGTGCTGGCGCAGAGCGCGCTGGAGGTGCAGCCCCGGCGGAGCCGGCGGCCGGTGCCTTGTGGAAAGGTGCCGACGACGACGACGACCGGGGCGCGCGAGTGGCCCGGGACTTGGGCGAACTCCGTCGCCGGCTGGAGGCTGGCGACGGCAAGGGGCATGTTGATTGCACTCTCGCCCGCGGTCGCGCGAGCCCCGACCGCATCCCGCGCCGTGGGAACGGGTGCGCGGCGCGCTCCCCCGCCAGAGGTCCCCCAGCCGGAGGCCGATCCTCAGGCGTCGGGGTCACGGAGACGGCCCCGGAGAGGCTCCCGGGCGCGCGCCGGAGCGCCTGGCTGAGGCCGACGGTCGCGGTGACCAGGCGGCCGCTGGAGCGCGAGAGCGTGAAGACGGTGCTCGCCGGCGTGAGGGCCGAAGCCGGAGTCCACTCCGCCGCCGAGGCCGGGAGGAAAAAGTGTGAAATATATTATTCCGAGAGTGGACGAGACAACTCCAATTTCGGGTAAAACAATTCTGTAGTCGATCCCCAACTCGAAACATCAAGTCCACGCCGACCACGTGGTTGAACGTGAGGCACCTCGGCAACAGGGGCGGCCTCGCGGGCATGGGCATCGGCTTGCCCATAGACGCGGCGCACCTCAGGTTATGCCTGTGGCGCGCGTTCAGTATATCGCGCAGTTCGACGCGCTGCCACGAGACATCGCGTGCAATCCGCGATCTGTTTTGTTGCTGGCACCCGCTTGCGCTGGGTTGGTGATTGTTTAGGGTTGCCTGTTGATCCCTTCGCCTACTCGCGTCCTCCCCTCCAGCATATACCGTTGCCTCCTGGCTTTTCGTATCCTCCCTTTTTCTACTTTCTACCCTCGCAGATCAGGATCTCACACCCTCAATAGCCTTCTCTCGCCACGTAGCGCGCTCTTAGATGTGCGTAGAGCCTCGGCCTCGCTTGGAGTTTGACTCCTGCGCCCGGTTGTCTGGAATGCGTATTGGACCTCTATCTCCAGCCTGGCCCTGGGACAAGGAGAGAACCAGGGAACTTACATCCTGCACCTGGTCGCCACCGCTCATTTGCAGAATGGGAATGGGCAGGTGGTCCCGCTCCTCGGGGCGCCCGCGGATGCTCAGGGCAATGGCCCGCTCCTCGGGGCGCCCTCCGCTGCGGCTGAGGCGGGCGACCCGCCTGCGCATCCGACCGTGACCTCGCCTGGTCCGAAGCGTGCAATGGGTGAGTTCGGGGCTGTCGCCCTCCCCCCCCCGCGCCACGGAATCGTCATTCTCTACTGTCGGGCTTGGTCCGTTTGCAGGTGAATCAGCAGGGGATACTGTGTCGAGTGATCGGCTATCACAGAACCCAGGGGCGCTCGCAGGTTTGACCAATGGAACCCCTGGCCTGTCCATGGTCCTTGTAATGATTCTACACAGGGCAACGCCTGCACGAGGCAAACGGAAGGGTCGGGGTCGTGGTCACGGCCGTCGTGAGGGTCGTGTTGACAGGTAAGGGCTTGAACAAGGGTCCCACCCGCACCAGGGATAATTCCCCCCCTCCTCCCCCTTGAACTGATCGCCGAGGTGGCTACAGCTCGTCCTACCAAGTTTGTCCGAGATGGTGCAAGGATTTAGCGTTGATCCCCGGGTCTGACACCCCCAGTGCTGCGTGCCTAAACTGGGGGCCGGCCGTTGTGCTGCCGCGCGGGTGGTCCCCGACAGTCCACCTGCGTTTGCGAGCGAGGTCTAGCTGACGAGGCAGCAGGCAGATGTTGTTCGATTCCACCCGATGAATTGGTTCGGAGCTCCAAGGCGATGTCTTGTCGTGTCTTGTCCCCTCCACCTGTTTGTGCTCCTCAATCCTCTCAGCCCCCACCGTCTCTCCTGCTACTCGTCGTCGTCATCGTCGTCGTCGTCGTCCTCCCCCTCCTTGATGTTCTCCTCTTACCCGTCCCTCTCCTCTCTGCTCCTCGTCTTGCAACTGCTGCTGCTGCTGCTGCGGCTGCTTGTTCCTCCTGCTCCTACTTCCTTCTCCTCGCCCTCCTTCTCCTTTGTCCTCCTTCTCCTTCGCTCCCCCTCCTCCTCCTCCAGTCAGCCTGCTCCGAGAGGATTCCCCCCCTGTCCTCCCACTCCTCATCCTTGGAATTATCAGGGGCCACTTGGAATTGAGATTTTCTGGGCTAACTTCAAACACACGGTGCTCTTGATGACGTCTTGATCTGTGTCAGATTTGCTTTGGTGCCTCGGGGGAGGTGTCAAGGGGGCGAGCTATGGGTCAGGCCAGAAGACGTGTCGAGCGGCCCCAATTTTTTTTTTCAACCATTGGGCGTCGACTTTGGGCCCTGTTGGGCCTTCCTAGGTGCGTCTGGGCCGTCTTGTCGGACACTCGAAGCCGTATGTGGGCAATTTTAGGCCCAACTTGGGGTGTCTTGGGGCCACGTTTGGCCGTCTGGGACTCCTCCTGGGGCCCTACCGTCATCTAGGGCATCGGGGGGGGGCGTCTTGGTGCCCTCTGAGGCCGTCTGCGCCCTCATCGAGGGACTGGACCTGGGATGCGAACGCCAGCTTGCAGTACTCTACCCGTGTTGCATGTTTCCTATAACATTCGAATGGCTACCTCGACTACGGCAATCTAACTCTTTGAAACCGTCTGCGGCATGGGGGTCGCAAGCTGAGGTGGCCGGGGTCAGGTTAAGGCGATGCGCGTGCAATCTACAGCGTTGTAGAATCCTCCTCCTCCTCCTCCTCCCTCCTCCTCTTCCTCCTCGTCCCTCACCTCTTCCTCCATCTCCTCTTGCTCCTCCCCCCTCCCTAATCCATCCTCCTCCTCCTCCTCGTCCTCCTCCCCCTCTTCCTCCTTCTCCTCCTCCTCCTCCTCCTCCTCCTCACGTCGCGACGCGGTGACGAGAGAATCGTGGGGCCGGACGCTCAGTCTGGCCTCTCAGAGGCCGCTGGCGCAGGAGCTGCCTCCGCCAGGCCCGCCTTGCAGTCCGCTCTCTCCAGGTGCAGGGAGGACAGAGGACAAGATGAACACTGCAGGGAGACGTCGCGCGACGAGGCACACGCACACCGAAGGAGAGAGGAGGGGCAGCAAGCCCCCCTCGAAACGACACTAAGGGGCTAACCCAACCCGCGGGATCCCGCGAGATCTCGGATGACGGAGGAGGGAAGAGGAGGAGGAGGGGGCGGAGGAGGAGGAAGATGATGAGGACGAAGAGGATGCGTAGGACGAGGAGGAGGAGGAGGCACAACGTTCCCAATGAGTCCGCCGTCTGAACGAGCTGGGTGGCGCCCTCACGGAATGCTTCAACCTGATGTAATACCACGCCTGGGTCAAGAAGCTGGCGCTTGCGGCTGTGGGAGCCGCAGCGCGATGCGAACTGCTGACAACAAATATGAAACTGTCCCACCGGACGGGCAGCAAGACGATTCATCCATCCATCCATACATCCATCCATCCATCCACCCATACACACATACTCACGTACGTACATACTTGCATGCATACATACATACTTACATACATACGTATAAACGTACAGACATACATACTTGCATACATACAGTCATACGTATATACACATACGTTCACACACACCTGCACACATACATACATACATCCATACATACATACACATACACACATACACACATACATACACACATACAGACACACATACACACATACATACATAACCGCACACACATACAGACACACAGGCGTACACACATCTCCACATACACACGCGCACATGCATGTATACATGCATGTAACTATGCAGACACACATACATATAGACAAACATATGCTTACACACACGTCCATACATCCATACATACACACATACCGACACACATACGTACACACATACATGCTTACACATACGTCCAAACATAAAACCATACATCCAGACACACACACACACATTCACGCACGTCCATCTATACATACATGCGTACACACATGCACACATACAAACACACACACACACACCTACCTACATCCGTACATACACACGGCCACACATGACACATGCATACACATGCATACATACATACATGCATGCATGCATTCACAAACACACATCTATATACGCATACATACATAAGTACGGACGTACATATCTACAAACATACATGCATGTATGCATACGCATATACATGGATACACATACACACTATGCCGCAGCCGACGCAATCCATTGCCCACGAAGGCCGATCCACACGATAATGAGTTCAGGAAGGTCCAAGCGGAGCAATGTTGCAGAATGGAAAAGAAGGCGCGTGCAGGAGCTTACGTAGTGACCGACGGAGGCGCCGCGGGCGTCAGGGCAACCAGAGATGCCACTTTGATCGCGCTGCATCCTCGATCCTGTGGTCCAAGCCCCGAACCAGGGTCCGCAACAACATTGCGCACCATGATGGCGGAACTCCCGAGAGGGTTTCAGCTCGGCCGAGGAAACCTAGAACGAATGTCCCTGGAGGACCGCAGCAAATCGCCTCTGCGACTCGGGTCGGGGATCGGAGGGCTCTTCGCGAAACACCTCCCCCGACTTTGAGGCTCCGATCCTCCGGGAAAGCTCTGGCAACCGACCCCAGGGACAGAACCAAGGGTGGGGCTCTCCAGAAAAAGGCGGCGCCATAAGTGAGGAATCCCCACAAGACCACGGGGCAACGGCCGTGCAACTCAGCGCGAATTCTATACTGAAGATCTCAAGCCAAGGCGGGAAGGATATCAGAGCCGGGCGCATGGCTGCATCAACCGACGTTCGACATATCTTCCTTTATCAGAGCGAGGGGGCCGAACGGTCATTCACTGTCCCTGGGTGCGTGGCTGAACTGGGCATCCACAGCGAAAATTATGTTTGCTGTTTGATGTCGTCGTCCCGCCCGCGACCCGGCCCGCGAACCCACCCGCGACCCACCCACGACCCACCCGCGACCCGGCCCGCGACCCACCCGCTACCCACCGTCGACCCACCCGCGACCCACCCGCGACCCAACCAGGGACCCGCCCACATTGTTTTAACAAAAAATCGGCGCCTGCGGCGGGATCGTTGTATAGCTTCAAAAATTATGCGCCTGCAGCGGGCTTCTTCAGAGCCTCGCAGACTGCCGACGTTCCCGCCGCCCCCTCACTCTTACACGCAACTGCGGGGTGCTACGTAATCAGGGTGAGGGGGCCGAACGGTCATTCACTGTCCCTGGGCGCGTGGCTGAAATGGGCTTCCACGGTGCGGATTGTTGTTGTTGTTGTTGCTGCTATTGCTGCTGCTTGTTGCTTGTTGCTTGTTGCTTGTTGTTTGTTGTCGTCGTCCCGCCCGCGACCCGACCCGCGACCCACCCGCGACCCACCCGCTACCCGCCCGAGACCCACCCGCGACCCACCCCGCGACCCACCCCGCGAACCCTCCGCGACCCCCCGCGACACACCCGCGACCCACCCCGCGACCCGCCCGCGACCCGCCCGCGACCCACCCGCGACGCACAACGCGACGCGCCCACGAACCACCCGCGACCCACCCGCGACCCACCCGCGACCTACCCGCAACCCACCCGCGACCCACCCCGCGACCCACCCGCGACTCGCCCGCGATCCACCCACGACCCAATCCGAGCCCGCCCCCTCACTATTATCAGCAACTGCGGGGTGCTACATATTCTGTAAAGAGAAAGAGAGAGAGAGAGAGAGAGAGAGAGAGAGAGAGAGAGAGAGGGAGAGAGAGAGAGAGGGAGAGAGAGAGATCGAGAGAGACAGAGAGAAACAGAGAGATATGGGGAAAGAGGAGAAATAGAGAGAGAGAGAGAGATAGAAAGAGAGGAGGATAAACAAGAGAACAAGGGACACATAGAAAGAGAGAGAGAGAGAGAGAGAAACAACGAGAGAGAGAGAGAGAGAAAGAGAGAACGAGAGAGCACGCGCACCCGAGCCCTTAAGTTGGTGATGGTTCAACCAATCTTAATACCTCACCGCTGACATGGCCCACTTCAATATCTTAATACCTCACCGCTGACATGGCCCCCCGCGTGAAGCCGCCTCCCGATGCTCTTCGGGGGAAATCGCGCTTCTCACCTCGGCAGCCCAGAAGAGGAAAGAGTAGGGAGGAGGAGGAGAACAAGGCAAGACGGATGAGGGAGGTAGGGAGGGAGGAGGGACGAGGAAGGAGGGGTAGTTAGGAAGAGGCAGGGGAGGAGGGATGGGATAGTGCAGGATGGAAGAGGGAAGAGGGGGAAGAGGAGTATGATGATTTGGCCAAAGACGGCGGACTGTGGAGAAGTATGGAAGAGAGGAGAGAGGGAGACGAAAGTGATGAGAAGGACGAAACATATAATAGACCACGTGGAAGGTAAGAGGAACTGGTGAGGAGGCGACCTGTGGCCGTTGCCCATTTTGCGCAATGTTAAAAACATGGGATGGAGTGTGTGCACCTCGATGTTTGAACGGTAATGGATATATTGTGCTGGTGAAGTGTGAGAACACGGTTTGGAACCAATGCTGAGGGGGTGGAAGTTCATTGTGCCCGGGGTGTTTTCTTGCATGTAAGCTTGTTTTCCCCAGTACGCCAACAGAGACAACCGATTGTGAGGCAAAATGAACCAGAACATGCGTGGTCGGTTCGCTCAGCTGCGCATGCCACGCATGTGCATAGGCGTACTTTCCATTAGCAACGTCAGAGACGATGACAGTACACCTTGGATTTCGTCTCGTGTGCTCCCCAAGAGTGTCTTTTCCAATCGAAATGTGTTTTCTTTTGTGTGTGTGCGTCTGTGTGTGTGTGTGTGTGTTTGTGTGTGTGCGTGCACTTCCGCTTCGCTGTGCACGCCTCCGGTACTCGCGACCAAAGACTGCATGTTCTGAGCGTGTTCTCCCCTCCCCCCGCGGCCCCTCCTCCTCCTCCTCCTCCTCCTCCTCCTCCTCTCCCTCCTCCTCCTCCTCCTCCTCCTCCCCCTCCCCCTCCCTCCTCCTCCTCCTCCTCTCCTCCTCCTCCTCCTCCTCCTCCTCCTCCTCCTCCTCCTCCTCCTCCTCCTCCTCCCTCCTCCTCCTCCCCCCCCCCCCTCCTCCTCCTCTTCCTCCTCCCGCCGCGCCTGCTTTAGTGGCTCAATTCGCATCGGAGGCGCCCCTCCGTCGCTCGAACGCTGCTTGAGTCAGGCGGCGACAGGCCAGAACATGTGTGCCTGTGGGCTCTACGGCGGTCTGCGTCGTACAGCTTATGGTTGCATCGTGTCCCTGGCGAACTGTTTCCTGGGTGTGTTGAGCTGTATTGGTTGGGCCTCTCAGGCGTTTCACAGCTCTCGCATTCATGCGTATGCGCGGTCAAGCGCACATAATGGATGTTACATGCTTCATGTGTAATGCCTTTGCGTTGCCTGAGGTTTTTGTTGCCTTGATCGTTTGTTGAGACCTCTCGGGCGTCGTGCCTCTTACACGTGTGCTTTTCCCAGCATCCTTGGTGGGGGCGGGAGGATCGCTGGATGAGGAACGAGAGAGGGAGAGCGCAAGAGGGAGCAGGGAGGAAGGACGAAGACATATGGGACGGACGGGGAAGGGAGCGGGGAAAATCGAGGGAGGAGAGAAGACAGATGACGAAAGAAGATGCAGGGCGAATAATAGATGCACCACCGCGCTTGCCGCGCAGCAGGTGCTCTTCGAGTCCCTCGTAACTCGTTGGAGTAATCTTCCTGCGAGGCATTCGGGGCCCGCGACGAAATCGGAGACACCAAGAAGGTGGCACTTTCAGTGCAGGGTCTAAGCATGTTGGGCCCCATTCGGGTAGAACAGCCCACTTCCAAATGCTCCAGGTGGGGGAGACCATGACCACCTCGGCCCTTCGGAATGCCCAGCCCATGATCCTCAGGGGGTGCCCGAAAGTCTGTAGCCTCGATGGCTTGCTTAGCAAGCACAGCGCTCACAGGCCCCGAGGCTCCTCTTCTGGCTATGAGGTGCCGGAGGAAGAGGCGCGTCAGGAGTCCTGGCGCGGTGCTGCGGGAAAGCACATCGTCCGTCGAGGTTGCAGCTGTCACGTTGCAGTGCACGCCAGGGGGGGGGGCTCCTGGGGGCCCTGCACGGCCCAATGCCGCGCCCAAAGGTGGCCGACAGGAGGAGGAGGAGGAGGAGGAGGAGGAGGAGGAGGAGGAGGAGGGGAGGAGGAGGAGGAGGAGGAGGAGGAGGAGGGGGGAGGAGGAGGAGGAGGAGGAGGAGGAGGAGGAGGAGGAGGAGGCTGCGGCTGGCCTCCAGGGTCAGGAGGGGCTCCGCCGCCAGGGCGGCCCGAGGCCGCCCTCGGAGTGGCCCCCAGGCTGCGCACGAACGCCCCCGGGGGGCCCCGAGGCAGGCTCGGCCACGTGCAGCGGGGGGTGGGACGGGGGCAGGCTTCTCAGGAGCACCCCTGCCTCTCAGGCGTCGGCTAGACGTTTCTTTTGTTTTTGCCGACGAGCGCTCTGCAACGGCAGAGTGAATATGTCACGGAATACCTAGGAGTCGGCTAGACGTAAGAGTGACCTCGGGTAAGAGTGACCTTTGGTGCGCAGCTTTTGGGGGCGCGAGGGAGCCAAACCCACGGGCGCGGGCCGCTCATATATCGCATCGCGCTCGGCGATCGGGGGGAGCCCGATGAGCCCGCACCAAAGGTCACTCCGGCGAAGGGTCACTCTTACATGTAGTCGAAGGAGGCGCGGGCCTTCTGTAGATGTCGGGCCGGCGCCTCCTACGGAGCGGCCTCCTGCGAAGAAGCCTTCCCGCCTTCCCCCCGCCCCCCCTCTGCGCGTGGCTGAGAATCTCAGGACCCCCGAGGACGGCCCCACGACACCCCTAAAAAACGGTTCCCAAGGCCTTCTCCCTGAATATCCTCCAGGACCCCCCGAATGACACAAAGAACCCGCAGAGCCTCAGAAACAAGCTAAAATGGACCACATACCCGTGGATCTGGCACGTGAGCGCGGGGGGAAAAACAATCCCCCCCCGAAACCACGAAACCGGTGCCGCCTGAGTTTGCGACGGCGCACGCCATCGGAGGTGAGGGGGTGAGATCGAAATGGAACGGAGAGCCCCCCTACCGGGAAATCGATTTCGGCGTCGTGTTCGTGCGTGCCGTGCGTGCGGGCGAGGCGAAGCTGCGTGGGCGGGCGAGAAGAAAGTCTCCTGTGGCTGAGGCGCGGCCGGACCAAATGTCTCCCTTCCGGGCGGCCGGTTGCCCGCGGTGTCCCGCCGGTGTCCCGCTGGTGTCCCGTGTGGCTGAGGCGCGGCCGGACAAAATGTCTCCCTTCCGGGCGGCCGGTGGCCCGCGGTGTCCCGCCGGTGTCCCGCGGTGTCCCGCGGTGTCCCGCGGTGTCCCGCGGTGTCCCGCCGGTGTCCCGCGGTGTCCCGCGATGATGATGATGATGATGATGATGATGATGATGATGATGATGATGATGATGATGATGATGATGATGATGATGATGATGATGATGATGATGATGATGATGATGATGATGATGATGATCGAGTGAGATCGAGTGTGAGATAGATCGAGTGAGATCGAGTGAGATCGATTGTGAGATCGATTGTGAGATCGATCGAGGGAGATCGATCGAGCGAGACCGATACTGAGATCGATAGTGAGATCGATAGTGAGACCGATCGAGTGAGACGTTGGTTCCTCCCCCCCCGAACCTCCTTATCACCCGAAGGGTGGTCGTATAGGTATGTGTGGATTGAAGCGGGGCCCATCGCCAATCCACGCACCTTAATCCATGCTTGCGCTTTCTCGGAAGGTGAGCATTTTTTTATTCGGCGTTTCGACATTGGGAGGAAGGGGGGGAATCGGCGGTCTGGCTCCAGACCTCTGCTTAGTGCGACTGTTTGCGACAGGGCGTTCATTATGGGGAAGGCTCCATCTGCTCGAAACAGGCGCCAAAAACAAACCAGATCCACTCCAATGGGGGGGATCGGCAAAACAATGAATAACAAAAACGAGCATCAATCCACGCACCTCAATCCATGTTTGCGCTTCCTCGGAAGGCTCCCCGAGACGTCCCAAATATCGGAGCGTCCTGGGGACAGCAGAGCGGCAATTTGCGAATCAGCCCACGCAGCTGGTTTCCCCCGGCGCTTCCCGGCGCCGATTTTGCGCCAGCGTGTGGAGGAACGCACCTGGCGGCGGGGCCAGCACCAACGGCATGCCGCGGATTTCGTACCCCCTCTAGATTGGGAAAGTTTCCCAATCTAGGGGAACAAACAATGACATTAACATAACAACTCGGAGGTCCGCGCGGATTTCTCGGATCGGCGCTGGACCCCCCTCCCTGGCGCGCGGAGCGCGCCAGGGGCGGCGCCAGAGGCGCCGCCAGGTGTCTCCGGCGCCGATCCGAGGAATCCTCGCGGACCTCCGAGGTTTTATGTTTCTGTCCCTCTTCGTTGCCCTAGAATTCCATCCCCTTTCTCTCGTCCGGCTCGCAAGGGGCCCCGAATACGTCCACCCCCAGGAGCATCGCGACCCTCATGCAACCCCCGTGGCCGCCGTGCCGCGCTGTGGCGCTCTGCGGCGCTCCCCCGAAAGTGCGGTGTAGCGGAGGTGCGCGGCAGCGGCACTGGTTGCTTTTTTGGGACAGCTTGCAGCTGGTCCTGTCAATGAGTACTTGATGCACGATGGCTGCCAGCCCCGTCAAATGCTTGCGTTGAGGAGATGCTGGACTAGAACAAGAAGAAACGCCATACAAACATAAACTTTTGGCGCTCCGCGCGGATTTCTTGGATCTGCGCTGGGCCCCCTCCCTGGCACGCGGCGCGCACCAGGGGCGGCGCCGGAGGCGCCGCTCGGGGGGTCCCAGCGCGGATCCAAGACATCCGCGCAGAGCGCCAGAAGTTTACGCTTATGCCTTTTCTCCTGTTCGATGGATGCTGGCCTCCGCACGAAGATGCCTGATAAGAAAGCGGGAAAACTGAAGAAGGAAACTACCAGAACGAGGAGAGCGACGACCGTCACAACCAACCACGGGTAAAACATTATGCTCCCTCGGCGGCGCGTGGAGCGCGTGCAAGCCAGCAAGACGGCCAAGGGACAGAGGAAACATGCATGCGGGCGAGACATGGCTCGG